CAGGTAAGTTGTATATTTATAAATTGCTGTTATTGGTGATTGGTGATGATTTAAAGCAAGAGGGTCGTCATCTGCGCACGCGCGGGAATTGAGTCCCAAGCGACCGTGTGACGATAACAACACACGCTAAAAACGCAAAGGCTCATGGGTAGACGCTTGTTTGTAAACAACGACACGCTATGGCCATCTGGCGCATGCGCAGATGACGACTCTCCCTCTTTAAGGCAAATGCTTGAATAGTTTAAGGAATGTGTATAATCAATTATTTTTGATACAACAATATTTTCTAATCAGTTGATGTACATCAAGACACCGTTTATTTTCTGCAAAACCATTGATTATTGTAATTTAGTCTAATCTAATTTTCTAATTTAATACCCCACCAGGAGCTCACATCAATCCAGCTGTGACTTTAGCTATGGCAACTATCGGAAGATTTGATTGGGTAAAAGTTCCCCTTTATTGGTTGATGCAATTTCTCGGTTCATTTGCAGCGTGTGGATGTTTATACGGAGTATATTATGGTGAGTTGGTTGTTTTTCTATTCCATGTATTTGCAATTCACATAATGATGCTGGCAATACGTACATCTCAATTTACAAATTGTTTGTGTTGAAGACAGCCTAAATCAATTTGGAGTGATAGTGGATGGTTATTTCCATAATTTTTAATCGGTTCATGAATATTCTCGCAATAAATGATCAATTTACCGTTAGTCATTTTTCATACATTGAAAGCTGACATTTGGCTAAAAATCAATGAAATAATATTATGTTGATACATTTGTTAGGCACGGACAAGGCAAGTCGACTGCGAATTATGAAGACCGGTGATATTCGCAATTAGACAATTAATAATCTTAACATTGGCTTTATTCTAGATGCAATAGAGGATTTTGATGGCGGCGAACGACAAGTATATGGTCCTAACGCCACTGCCGCTATATGGGCAACGTATCCACAAGATTATGTTACCATAGAAACAGGTTTAGGCGATCAGGTAAACAACACTTAAAAATATCGTATCTATTGTATCTGTATTGAGTGGTTTTTGATGGGAGGTGGTCGTATTCAAATTCCATGTAAACATGCAAATAATGTATTTGTACACGCGTTCTCTACGTCGCTCTGAGTCCCGTATGAAACAGGACGCGGTGCGACGACCGACGAAGTATAATAATATAGAAAATACACTCACTAATTCCAATTTCAAGTTGCACTCTGAGATCAGTAATGCATATTCATCGGCGTTTGAAAATATCATTTGACATTTGTGATCGCATGCATATGCGCGAATTGCGGGAAATAGGATCCCTTCAAATTGCTATGGGCCGAAGAGGGGAATCATTGTAAATCGACGAATGTTGGAGAACCGCTGAACATTGGGACGCGCTGAAAATCGTTGAAAAAAATGAACGTTTAACTACGTATATATTTCCAGCAATTCTGACAAATTCAGGCCATCAAATATTATCGATTATTATTAAAGTCAAGTAACGTTGTTGCAGAGGAAACCGATCACCTAATAGAACTGCTAATTGGGCTTGTATATGTAACAACCGGGGCGTAGACAGTTTGGCAGATTTGGCTGGATGTTGCTATGGAGATGAAAGAATTTGTGTGTTATATTTTAAGGTATTGATCGTATAAGTCAATACTTTAGCAAGCCTGTCTTTATTTGATGTCAAACAAAGCCTGATATTAATCAACATACTCTGCAAGTAATATGTCAGTTTTGATAATTTATTTTCCTCTGTTCTGAATCCAATGATAGTAAATAATTTACAATGTGCATTTTTTCTATATATAGTAGTTGAATAATTCTCGTTCTTATCGTTATTGTTATTGTTATAAATCAAAGCTGTCAACAACGTTTGAAAGGCGGTATTTAGACCAGTACATCCATCAGTATTGCATTCATTATTTTGGTGCTTAAAAAGCGGAATTTTGAGATTTTTTTTACGATGTTCGTAAATACTAATAATACTTCACACCAATTGTTGACGAAATGGATTTAAAATATTAATCGCGGCGACCTTGACACTAATTCTACATTGCCGTAGAAAAGCAATGTTCTATGTTGACAAATACTCATAGTAGTCTGTATTCAAATTTACTTAATATGTATTGAGCATCGTTTCCTAATAGATTTTTGGAACCATGTTGCTGCTGGGTTGTATAATGGCAATAGTGGACACGAGAAACAACAAGCCGCCACATGGTATGGAGCCTCTGCTGATTGGGTTGGCAGTCTTTGTTATAGGATTGGCTTTTGGTCATAACTGTGACTATGCTATCAACCCAGCAAGGGATTTGGCACCACGTACTTTCTCATACTGGGTCGGATATGGGGCAGAGGTTTGGACGTAGGTTTTATTTTCATTTTTCAACACCATTAACGCATTGATACCATGGGCCATATTGGCACATATATTTAGATGTAACACATTATTTGTGGATACACCATGACGGACATAATTGAATAAAATGTATTTAATTGTTGACTTGATTAGGATATATGATCAACACCCCCTTTAATTGCGCGTCTAAACAGGTTATATTAAATATAGAGTAACCACTTCGCACCCAATGAATGTATTGGTCTTTAAAATATCATTGACTCTGTAGGCCTAATGGTATAAACTGGTGGTGGGTGCCAGTTGTAGGTCCACTAATAGGAGGTGTATGTGGGGCGCTTATTTATATTGTATTCGTAGAAGCCCATCATCCTGATGACAAGGATTCGCATAGTCTGGATCAGAACGAGTTTAGTAAGTACAATAATCGGTGGTGCCAAACTGACTCGCTCGTTAGAAGAGAATTACTCAATTTAAAACAAGTATTTTAGGTTTCAGAGCTTAATTATATTCTTTTGATTTCAGCCCTAAAAGATTTAACACAGGAAGAAGGTACAGATCAAGCAACATGTACTGTGAGCAAATCCAATGCCGGATTTGAAGAAGAATAAAAAGTCAGGCTGTTAAAACCTACCACATGTACAGGAAATGATTCACTAAATTTATTATATCATTTATATAAATATATATATTCATACGGAGCAAAAGTAGTAACGTACCATTCGCATAAAAACGGCCATACATATAACGTGGGTAACTCCGAATTCGTTGTTTAAAAAAACCCCACTGTAATCACCGGGAAAAGTGCAAAAAAAACAAAAAACAAAAAAACATTTTATTTCGAGCGCTCTGTGTAATTTACAAGGCTAAATTATTGAAGATATTATAACTTGGTTTTAAAGGGTGATGCCAGAATCTGTATATAATTAACTATAAAATTCCTTTTTACAAAACACTAATTGCTCTGTTTACATACTTGTATCACCATATTGATGAAGACTCACGTACATGTTCTTTTCCCACGATGTTTGTTGAGCCATATACCATCAATAAATAGTAAGCATATTATGGGCGGCGTATATCCAACACATGTGTTGACAAGTCACCTGAAGGTGACACAGCCCCCACTTGTCAGATGTGATTATAGTTGGCTATGAATTATAAAGTTTAAATGTATATGTATAAAATCGGGTTGGAAGATTAAGTTGAAAATCAAAAGTATGTTACTCAAAGTTAACAGCTAGGACATCTCTATTAAATTTGGAAAAATTTGCATCAATTTTAACAAAAATTCACAATCAATTGAATATGGAAATTCAATTGAGTCAATATTAAATAGCAAACAGATGAACTATTAACAAGATATTAACCCAAATTCAAAATTAATTAAATATTCAAATTAGCTTATTAATTAAAGCGCGATGGTCGTCGCGCAGCGCGTGTTCGAATTTCATGTAAATAAACAATGTATTTTACGTCGCTATGAGTCCCATATCGAACA